TTTTGTTTTTAGTACCATGGAGGCACCAATTTTGATAGAACCGCAGGTGGTCCTTACATCACGACCACATATGATTACGATGCTCCTCTTGACGAATTTGGTAAAGATAATTTATATTAACATTTTAAATTATCTTAGAAATTTCATAACTAATTTTTTAATAATAATGTGAAAATTTATCAGGTAATTTGAACCAACCAAAGTATGGACATTTGAAGCAACTTCACGATGTTCTTCACTCTATGGAGAAGACTCTTACCCACGGAAACATCTCCAACGTTGATTTTGGAAACTTTGCCTCCGTGAGATTCTCATTTCTTTGTTTTTTTTTCTTCTAAAATCAATCTACATATAAATGTTACTAAATGATGAACTATATGTTATTATATAGGCAACAATTTATACAACAGATGAAGGATCAAGCTGCTTTTTGGGAAACGTTAATGAAACTTCAGATGCAATAATCAATTTCAATGGAACAACTTATGATGTGCCCGCTTGGTCTGTCAGCATTTTACCAGATTGTAAAACTGAAACTTACAATACCGCCAAGGTTTGTCTTTTTAACATCATTCAGATTAAAGGATATATATAACCTTTATTCATTAATTGCCTTCGTGAGTTTTTGATTTTTCAGATTAAGTATTATCGTTAATCACATTCAAAATTATATAATCTTTATGCATTTGTCTTCGTTGGTTTTTGAATTTACCAACGAATTATTCATTATTAGTTGTAATCCTAATGCATTTTCGTTTTTGAGTTTGTTTATTTTACACAAGATTTATCATTGACTATTACATTTTTGCATTTGCATTTTCCTTGGTGGTTTTTTATTTCATTTTTTTTTTCGAGTGATACATACGAAAATCTTTATGCATTTGTCTTTGTGGGTTTAATTTATTTATCATTTGGCGGTCTTGATTTTCCTTTTCTTCAGATTAACACTCAGACTTCAGTGATGGTTAAGAAACCGGATGAAGCCGAGGACGAGCCTTACACTCTAAAATGGTCATGGAGACCAGAGAACGTGGATAATGTCCTCTTGAAAGGAAAAGGAGAATCTACAATGAAACAATTGTTTGATCAGAAAGTTGTAGGTAACGATGAAAGCGATTATCTTTGGTACATGACAACGGTCAATCTCAAAGAACAAGATCCAGTTTGGGGTAAAAACATGTCTCTTCGTATCAACAGCACGGCTCATGTTCTACATGCTTTTGTCAATGGAGAACATATTGGTAAGTAAAACGATATAATTTGATTCTAAACAACACTCTTTATTTAACAAAATCTCATAAATTTTGGTTTTTTTTTGTTTTAGGTAATTATCGCGCGGATAATGGAAAGTTTCATTATGTTTACGAACAAGACGCGAAATTCAACCCTGGTGCTAATGTCATTACTCTCCTTAGCACAACCGTAGGCCTTCCGGTGAGTTAGTAATTTACAATGTTTGTTTTTTCATGTTAAAAATAAAAACGATTCTTTTGAAGTCTAGTCTTTAACCAAAAATTTTCTTTTATTCTAGAACTATGGTGCTTTCTTCGAAAGCATACCAACCGGAATCACTGGACCCGTTTTCATTATTGGAAGAAATGGTGATGAAACCGTAATCAAAGATTTGTCTACTCATAAATGGAGCTATAAAACCGGTTTAAGTGGGTTTACGAACGAACTCTTTAGTTCGGAATCACCTTCTAAATGGTCAGGTGAAAGTGTACCATTCAACCGAACCATGACTTGGTACAAGGTAAGTAGATAACTAACCAAAACACTTTATATTCAATCTCAAATCATATCATTTTAATATTTGTGTATATATATATTGTAGACCACTTTCAAGCCTCCTTTGGGAAATGAACCAGTTGTTGTTGATCTTTTGGGACTTGGGAAAGGTACGGCTTGGATCAATGGAAACAACATAGGACGTTATTGGCCAGCTTTTCTTGCAGGGGATGATGGTTGTTCCGACGAATGTGACTATAGAGGAGCTTACTACGCTGAAAAGTGTCAGACAAATTGTGGAGAACCTACTCAAAGATGGTAACATTTTCTGAAATTTGTTATGTTCTAAAATCAAATACATTGAATTGAATTTGTTTCAAAATGAAAAGTTTTCAACTGTTTTTTTGTTTTTCTGAATCAGGTACCATGTTCCTCGTTCTTTCTTGAACTCAGAAGGAGACAATACGCTGGTTTTGTTTGAAGAAGTTGGAGGAAACCCATCACTTGTCAATTTCCAGACAGTCGGAGTGGGAAGTGTGTGCGCAAATGTCTATGAGAAGAACGTTCTTGAGCTGTCCTGTCATGGAAAACCCATTTCCGACATAAAATTCGCTTCCTTTGGTAATCCGGGAGGCAAGTGTGGATCCTTTGAGAAGGGAACTTGTGAAGCAAGCAATGATGCCGCGTCTATTCTCACTGATGAATGTGTTGGAAAAGAAAAGTGTTCCATTGACGTCTCCACGGAGAAGTTTGGAGCTCCGGAATGCGGTGGTGCTGCCAGGAGGCTCGCCGTTGAAGCTATTTGCTAGTTTTCTAAAAGGAGATTTTAGGGCTTTTCTAGATTTAGGGTGATTTTCTTCAGTTTTTTTTTTCAGGTTTGGTAGGGCTATTTTTTTTTTCTTTTTCTAAGGATTTAGGTGCTTTTGATCCTTGGAACTATTGCCCCCATTATTAGTTAAGATGGGTGGCTTTATTCAATAAAAGAAAAACTTCTAATAAATCATTTGGTGGCTATTTTTCTTAGTTTTCTTGTCTCCGTTAAATTGAGGTCACATTAAGTTGAAAGAAATAATTAGCAAAAGTAAAAAACATTTGAGTTAACAAAAGCTATTGGTTAGATGTCGATTTTCTTTGATTCCCGAAAAAGCAACAAATAACAAGTTTATTCAGTCGGCTAAAAGAGTCCTTGAGAAACCAAATACCTATATCATCAAGAGGTATTTTCTTGCGCTTCAGGGCGTTTAAAGATGACCATGATCTTCCTCTAGGGTTTTTTGGCGGAACCAGTTTCCAAATAGGTTTCTCGTCCCCTATACAAGACGTAGCAAAATGTCTCATGTATTCTTATTCTCCTCACAAACACAATTTTCCAACATA